GAACATACCCTGCAGTGCGGGCTCGTCCTTGCTAAGTAGGAGGGAAAAGACATGTAGTGCAAGGCTGCATATTGCATTGTGCACCTTCGAGCTGCGGGCTCCCACAGGCTTGTCGCTCCTGCGCTTTAGGGGCTCATGACGGCTTAGGCTTCAGGGGCTTTAAATTTTAGGCTTTGAGTTTCGGGTTCATTGTTCGCGGGGTGTTTAAAACAGGGGCCTAAATAATTACCTATACTATTTTGGGGGTTCCTGACTATAACTATAGTATAATGGGCCCCAAAACCCATTCTAATTATTAAGGGTTCATGGTGCATTGTGATTCGTCTTCGGAGGCTTTGGGCTTTGCTCACTACAGAAGCGCAAAGAATTACCAATATCTGTCCTAAAGGTTCCTGGTTCTAACTCTACTATCAAGAAGCCCAAAACCCTATTCTAATTATTAAGGCCCCTACACTATACTATAAAGAAGCCTAAAACCCTGTTCTAACTATCAAGGCCCCTACATTAGATTCTTTGGACTATGAGTGTCGGGGTTTAGGCTTTGGCTTTGGATCCTCGGAGCTTGCGGCCGCGCAGCTTGGCATTCGTTTTCGGAGGTGTTACGGGGCCTCAAGCACAAACCTTCCCAAACTTGGGTCATGCCGAACTCTCACTTCTTATAACAAATCCCCACCTGAGTCTTCAGTACCTCCACCGATACTCGTCTTCTACGGAGACATGTCTAGACATATGTAGAATGGTGTTTATAGATATATTCAGATATATGTACCGGTATATGTAAAGGTATATTGCATATTTACAAAATGCATATGTATAGAATGTAGATGTGCGTGTTCAGGAATTGTATGCCTACTGTCTGTTTGCATGTGCTTGTGTATGTGTGCAAACGTACCTGTATGCACGTGTGTGTGTGTGCGCCTGTGCGCAGGTATGTATGCATGTGTGTGTATATGTATATGAAGGCATGTGTGTATGTACGTATGTAACGTATGTATGTGCATGTACTTATGCATGCATGCATACATGCAGGTATGTATGTATGTATGTAAGTATGTATGTATGTATGTACGTATGTATGTATGTATGTATGTATGTATGTGTGTGTGTATGTATGTACATCATGAATGTATGTATTTGCATGTATTTCCGTATAACATATGTATGCATGTATGTATGTCTTGTATGTGTGTCTGAGTGTAGCTGCAAATCCTCATGTAACTGCAGAGTAATGTAAAGCAATGCGAAGTAGAGGACGGTAGTGCAATGTAATGAAACGGTAGTGTATTGTCTTGATACATAAGACTGCCTGTTTGTCTCTCTGTCGGTCTGTCTGTGTGTCCGTCCGTCTGCCTGTCTTTCTGTACGTGTGTATGTATGTATGTACGCATATATGTATGTATGTATGTATGTATGTATGTATGTATGTATGTATGTACGGGTGTATGTATCTTCGTCTGTGTTTGCATGTGTATCCAGACATATATGTATGCATGCGTATACACCGCACGCACACATCTGTATATATATATATATATACATACATGCATAAATAAAACTCTTTCGTGAGCACACACACATATGTATATATGCAATCATATCTGTGAATTTATCTATGTACGACACCACATGTGCATGTTCAGAAAGGTGTGTGTATGTATGTATGTATGTATGTATGTATGTATGTATGTATGTATGTATGTATATATATATATATATATCTATATATACATATATTTACACCATAGCCCCCTTGAGAACGTTACGGCAGCACAGGCCCCAAACGCTCAGCCCGTTAACCCTAAAGGACAAACCCCGACGTCGCAAACCCAAAGAACACCCGAGGGACCCGGATCATCCCATCCCTACCCGACTTGGAGGTGGGCCAAGCCCTCATGTCTTCATGACTCGGCAAAAAGATCCCCTTGAAGCAGCGCATGCCAAAGAGCCTCTCTGTGTTCGGTTCCTACCTATCGTCTCCATTGTAGTTCCTTGTTTTGGTTTAACCAATTATATATTAAGGATTTTACAAGGTATCCCCAAAAAGGAACTACAATGGAGACTATGGGTAAGCCCTACTCCTGTTTCCTGACTTAGACTCCTCTGTCGGACCTGAGGTTTGCTGTAGGGTTTGGGGCAATGATAATCGCGAGTATCTGTATAAGTTTAACAATACTAATCTGTATACACACGCATATATATATATATATGTATATATGAGATATGTATATATATATATATATGTTCATATGTATCTACATTTATATATGCATAGCAAGCAAAAACTGCTGATGGTTTTCGCAATATTCGGTTATTATCATAATAATGATAATTATCATTATCACTCTTGTTATTATTTCCTTGCAGGTCGCCAGAGCAATGTGAGGCTGTGCCGGTGGAGTGAGCTTACCATTTAGTCTCCACTGTTGTTCCTTGTTGGTTCAACCAATTTAAGGAACTCGCAACATCATGTAGGGGCCTTAGCAATTAGAATAGGGTTTAGGGGCCCCTTCATACTATAACTATAATAAGGAACCCCCAAAATAGTCTTTGTAATTATTTAGGTCCCTACATTATCCAAATAAAGGAACTCGCATGGAGACTTTGGGCGCCTTGAGAGCAGAAAAAGGATATCTACGGACGCAGTCTCTGTAGGCCTCAGGGGCTTGCAGCGTTCTGCGAATCAAAAACTTAATAGCATGTAGCCTCCAACGGCTCAACTTGGGGGAATTATGAACTTTGACTTGCATAAGCCGAAAGGTAGCGGATGGAAAGTCACGGCTTCGGGTGCAGGGTAGAACGAAGGACGGATAGCTAGGCTGCGAGGGGCAAGTCGGCGCAGAACTGCATGGGTTTTCCCCAACCTACACATGTACGCATAAATGTGTAAAAACCAAATACGGAAACCAGGAGGACCTTGTCAAAGGGCTCATGGTCCCTAGTTGAAGATGGCCACAGCACCTGGATCAGTTGAATTGAGTTGGCTTCCTCCAGCTTGATGCTGCCCCGTTCAGTCGCTCAAGCAGACAACGAGAAACGCCCGCAAATCCGACCGTGGTTTCGGGTTTCGTTTATTACGGTCGAAGGTCCTTCTGGAACGTTTGAAAAGTCATGCCCCTAAACCCTAAACCGGGGATGTCGTGGATTTCCTGTCGCCTCTGTGGGTTGGTGTTGTCCCAAGCCGGGATGTAGGATTCTCTGCGTCGTACTTTGGCCCAAACCCAGTTGCTGAGTCAGATGAACTTGAGCCGGGCACGGGCGCAAAGTTGCATCCCAGCCGCCTTACAGATTCGCTGAGGTCAGGATTTCAGATATGGGATACCAGCCCTTCGCTGTGCACTCACTGCAACTGACTCACGTCCGTTTGTTTGGAGCCGCATGGTCTCTGCAAAACACTGGCTGTAAGCCTTCGGCTGGGTCCGCGCATGCAAGGATAATGAGTTCTGCCCGACCCTGTATGAAAATAAACCCTAAACTTCCCTAAACGCCAAACCCTAGAACCCTAAAGCAAAACGAGTCATGTACAAACCTCCAAAGAACCCAGCGCTTCCATGGCTGCATCGACTTGGGCTTGGCTGTCCTGTCCCACGGCCGTAGCCTGAGCCGCAGCGCGCATTTGCTTTGACAGGGAAGTCGGACAATAAGTAACAATATCCCCTTACAGTCCCTGTTGCTGTAGTAGATTCTATCCCCACCGCACCGGTATTGTTGAGGCCTTAGTTTATTTTCAATAGCTCTGGGGCAAAGATGTCTCGATCCTTGAACCTCGGGCTGAGTTGCTTCTTAGGCTGGACCCGAAACTGTAAAGCGCTACCGCCTGCTCGAAGCTGAAAAGCCCTACACTGGGTTCTGCAGTAATCGTGCTATACTTTGTTATGTCATGTGTTTTGGACTTATTCCTTGTGGGAAGCATTGTGAAATTAAAGTTTATACAGTTTATACCTTTGTTTCCCGCTGGTTTTTTCCAAAGCTCAGCACAGAAAACATGCCCAGAAGCCGAAGGCAAACAAGTTCAGAGCCCAGTACACTTGCACTGCAGAAGGGGCAATGGGCGGTTAAAAGAACAACAGCCACGAACTCCTAGCTCCACAGGCCCCTGTAATATAGGGTGCTGAGTGATGACCAATACTATTTTGGGGGCTCCTTGTTATAATTATACTATCCCCTGATCCCCAGAACGATGTTCTAATTATTAAGGTCCCTACATTGCAAAACATCCCAATGATATTCTTCAATCCTAGGGGGTAGACTTGGTAAGAACTTAGGTCCCCACACCTTCTAAGGACCAAGTAACCCTTTAACCCTTAAAAGTACCATGAACCCCTGCATGGTAGACGAACCTTAAGCCCTTTTAGGGTTCACGTCGTCCGGAAGCTTCCACCCTGAACCCTAAACCCTCAGCCCTTAGGCAAAACAAGCCCTAAGCCCTAAAACCGTAAACCCGAAAAACTAAACCGAATTTATTGGGAAGCCTCCCAAGCAACTTCGTGCTTACGAGGCGTTGCCGCGGCGGCAACTTCCGCCAGTGCCGTCGCAGAGACCAGGAGACCAGCGAACTTTTATGGGCAGTTCTCTGAAGTCGGGTCCCTTTTAAAATTTGGAGCGCTTGTTTATAAGAGTGCCGTACTCTTTTGGGGAGCCTTACCTAGAGAACCACCCCGGTGATAAGATGAGTGCAGGTGGGTGATCCCAATAAATGGGGGTTTCCGAATATAGGGGACCCTATATTTAGTACCCTAAATAATAGGATCCTTAATATAAGGACCCCAAAATAAGGTACCCCTTTTCGGAAACTCCCAAATGAGTCCGAGACTGACCCTTGAAATCATGCCTGGATGCAGCGGTCTAGCGGACAGAAGCTGCTCGGGCTACAGGCTGGTGGTACGCCATGCTTGTCATATGATCCCAATTGGTGTGCTGTTGCTACAGGTGTGTGCAAGTTGATGCCTGCGTATGTGGTTTTGCTGTCCGGTCCGGACAGCAGACGTCTCGAAGGTCACATGCTGCAACCCCCGAATACCGACAAGACTCAAGGAGAAACTGAGACCCACCACAAACCATACGGGATACCGACACCCTTTGTTTTTCTAAACTCTCAAGCCCAAACACTGAAGAGCCCTGTGACTGAAGCACTCTTTAGGGTTATAGGGCTATTCGGATACAGGAGTGAAGGGCTGCAGGGCAGGGTTTAGGGTTTTAGGGTTTAGGGTTTAGTACGTGGAGCATGGCCCCTGCGCA